AGCCACACGGTTCTGGGGCTGCTTGCCGCCCTGCAAGGCAAGGTGCAGGGCACCCAAAAGGGCAGAGATGGGGGGAAATAGGTGGGTGGGGGAGTTGGAGGCAGTCCCTTACCTTACTGAGGGTTGGGGCTGGGAGGGACCAAGCCCAGAATGGCTTGGATCGGGGTGGGTACTTGCTTAACAACCCACAATTCTTGGTTAATGACAGCAGCTGGGACTGCCAGGATTGCCGTTGCTTAGTGATGCAGTCACATGACATCTCACTTTACTTTTGCTTAGCAACAGAAATTCCAGTCCCACTTCTGGTTGTAAGTCAAGGACTACCTGTATGACCTTTCCCAAAATGCATACTGTATGTTTCCACATTGTAACACGTCTCTCTTTGAAGAGGGGAAAAAAAAAAACAGTAACCAGAGAAAGTTTTCCCCGGATCCCTTTTTGCACATACTTGAACTACTGAGACAACAGATTCTGGAATACGAATGAAGCAATCAAGGTTTTGATTCTTTAAGAGCTTTTCCATGGAATGCTGCTTGACTTAAATTTATCCAGGCAATGAATCTTAATAGATTTCTTGCCTTCCCTTCAAGCTCAGCATATTACTAAAATGTTGAAACAATAAATTTAGGAGTTGCTATTCTTTCACCACATCTCCTATTTATAATAACAACAATAACAATAATAGCAGCAGCAGCAGCTACAAAAGTAGTAGATTAGCAATGCTGTGTAGTAGCAGGCATAGTATTTCATGTGCCAGAAGGTGGCGCCATTGTACAATCAACCAAACCAATAATAAATGTATTATGGGAAAGTTTCTGTTGGCTTCCAAATGTTATTTTCTACTTATTTACTCATATATTTTGAATTACGTTTGGAAGTGCATTAAATGCACTCCTGAACCAAGTTCGGAAGCACTTTAAAACCATTTCTGTTCAAAGTGGCATTTGGCACAGTAGTTATCAGTACTATACTTAACAGAAATACACTACTCCAGAAATTGATTTTAACTGACTCCAAAGACAATGATGCAAGTTTGAAATTTTTCTCCTAGTTGTAAGGTGAGCTACCAAATGAGCAGAAGTCTCTTGATTTGACATGGTATTATCTCACGTTGAACACAAAACCAGCTGTACACCTCAAAATGACCCACAAAGTAGGAAAACTTTTGGCCAGTGTCCACCAGATTCGCAGAGATTTGAGGGTAAAATTAGAGAATCAGGAATAGATTCTGCACAGTTACAGACATTGCTTCTAGACCAGAAATCCTCATCCAACAAATTCTGTCCCAAGTGGAACTGGAACAGACATACGGAAAACTATTGTATCAGTTCCCTGCATATTCAAAAGGTGATTTGTCCCTCATTAACATTCAGCAGGCAGAAAAGAATAATTTCCTAGTCCTTTTGGTTTCTCTCTGGATTATGAAGCTCAACAAGGAAGGTGGAATACAACCTTGCCATTTATTTTTACCTTGCTGTTTCTTTCCATTCTGATTCTTCACCTTCTTTCACACAGATTTCATCCATCTCTGTGAATAGGTCATGGGGGACATGCTCCTCATCCTCTTCCATACCAAGGATAAAGTGAACTCGCTGAGATGGAGTATCTAACAAAACAGAACATTGTAATAATAATTGTAATGATGAAGATAGCGGCAATGTAGTCTTCGTAGATGTGGAAATACCCAGGGGCAGCAGAATCCAGAAAAAAGAATTGGGAAAAATATCCAGAGAGAGATCTAACAATCAAAAGGAAAAAATAATGGAAAAGACCTTGCAAAGTCATCCTTATAGTTATTGGCGTATTTGGCAGAATAACAAATAGATTAAACAAATGTTTACAAGAACTAAATATTTTGGTTATATCAACTGTGGATTTACAAAAACCACCTTGCTGAGCACATGTTGTACCTTATGATGATATTTGGATAATTCCTAGATTCCTGCCTGGCCAAAAAAAAAAAAATCAAATTTCCAAAGAATACCAGTCAAAGATGTAATTTTTTTACCTTGTTGTTTGTATTGTATTATTCTTTGATGAAAGACATTAGTAATAGTAGCAGTAGTAGCAGTAGTATTACTACTAAGGGGGAAGTATATAGAACATTCAAGGATTTGCAGAACTAGAAGTTCATAAGGAAAACCAAAACTTACACACAAAAAAAGTCACCCTTAAATCACACTTAACTTCATGGACCTACCCATGTGGTTTTTTTGGCAGCTATTTAGAGGTGGGTTACTAGTGCCTTCTTCTGGGATTTGTTTTCAACTTCCCAGTCTACCCTACAGCCGTGCTATTTCCTGGAGGTCTCCCATCAAGCCCATTTCTACTTAGTTCTGAGCCTAGACAAGATCAGCCAATAATTAACCTATGAACAAAAATGTCAACTTCCTAAACTTCAGGTTATGTTACAGTTTTGTTTTGTTTTGTTTTTGCAGAATTCTTAGCAAGTACCCTTCATTTGTGACATGCCATGCTAATCTTTCAGCTCCCTTTTAGGTTCCTTCTCTGGCAAGATATTATCTAAATGTCTTAGCTGTTGTCCGACTGCAATATAAATCTTCAATCACCTGAAGACACCCTATGAGCTATGTTCTAGGTAACAAGGTGGACAATCCCTTGCTGGTTGAGCACCTCATACAATGTACAATGGTACCTCGGGTCACGAACGCTTCTGTTCACGACCAATTCGGGTCACGAACAGCACCGT